AACTACGGAATTACCTATAGTAATTGCTGGGGGCATTTAGCAGCTTGTTTCTCTGTAAACAACGATACAGACAGTTACACTGCAGTTTCCCCTGGATTCCCAACATTACTCCTGAACTGGGCTACTCTGTTGAACTTGGGCCTCTGGTGACAGAGTGGTTACGTATTGAGTTGCTAACCACAAGTCCAGAAGTTTGAACTCACCAGATGCTCCACAGGAGAAAGATGAGGCTGTCTACTCCTGTAAAGATTTACAGTCTTGGAAACCCTCGGGAGTTCTATTCTGCCCTAAGGAGTTGCTATGAGTCAGAATCAACTCGATGCCAGGGGGTTGGAGGTTCTAATCTCAGCCCTGGTATTTACGATTCACTAATCTCTAGCAGGACATCTAACCTCTCTGCATCTTCATTTCCTCACCTGTCAAATAGGCATACGATTTCTTCTTCTGGAGGTAAGAGCTGTTCATAATGTAAAATACCTTATGGGTCTTGGGCATGCTTCTACATGCCTTTCTCTTCTCCTGTCTTGAGTTCCATGCCTTCGTCCCAGGGGGCACTTGCTGCATGGCCAGCACCGGGTGAAGATGGTAAGTTTCCTCATTGGAATATGCACAGCCACTCTGTGCGGCAGGCACTACCATGATCCCTTCCTGCCCAGTGTCACTGAAATCAAGCTTTTTCTTCAACTCCTTAGGGCAGAATGTTGTGCAGATACTTCATTATGGTTAAGTCTGCCAGAAAAAAAGTAACTGACTAATCATCGGAACGCGGGTCACACAAAATTGCTAAGTTTTTTCCTGTTTTTGGAATCGTACTATTGTAGAATCAATCATTTTAAGGTTTGGACTGGTTTGCGTTTTGCCATCCTGTAATTGTTTTAGTCCATTTTAGTCCCTAATATGTTTTAGTCCCTTTTTTAAAGTCTTCCTTCTCTGTTATCCAGATTTCAATCAATTAAGAAAGGCAACAATTCGCAAGACCCTTCTGAGTGAGAAAGCACTCTACGAAAGATCGAAGTCCCACCCAGGTCCAGAACATTTCTACGTGGGGATGGTGAGCATTCCCAAGCCCTAAGCTGGCTTTACCTCTCTTGCTTGCTGCCATGGAAGCATCTCTTGACTCCTGGCTGCAGAGCTGTGAGAAGCAGTCCTCAAATAACACTGTTGCTACATATTGCAATGGCGTCACCACGGCAGCAGTGTTTGGGTTGCTTATTCATGTATTTTTGGTTCTTTACAAAATTGCTGCCTAGATCCCTGTCTCCAGCCATGAAATGTTTTCAAACTGCTGGAGGTGCACCAGCGTGTTCCATTTTTGAAAGCAGAATGCAACAACAAATTCATGACTACCTGGCCTTCAGAACCACTGAATCACTGCGGTTGTTCCACACCCACGGAGGAAGGCGGCTTGGGCACCTGCAAAGCTCCGTGGCTCGTGCAAGGTCACCAAGCCTGAGAGGCATTGTCTGGCTCCTGACTCTCACTTCCCAGAGTCTTCCTGGTCCAAGGTCTGTCGCTCTGAGCCACCTCTGCCTCAAGCAGCTACTTTCTTCTGGGTGCTTTAGCATGTCATTTTGATCATCCGTTCATTATTTTTTCATCCTTAGTTGTGGATGTTTTGCTTTGTTGTTACTCCATGCTAGTGACGTCTTTAGCAAGACATGGGTAAGTATAGAGGTGGGATAAGCAGGACAGAGAAGGACACATGTTGTCTGGTGCCACTTCGATGAAATATCTAGACGAGGCCAATTC